AATACAATCGCCTTAAATGTTTGTCATGTTGTATGCTTCGGATTTGATAAAACTGAACAAATCAATTTAAATAACACGTGAACGCCCATATACATACAAGCATAGAACCACCAAGACATAATCATCTGGAATTATGGTCTAATTCATTATGAGTACTATGATAATAAGACCTAATCCCAAAATTGCGAATTTGTTGTGATGCGTCTACCTAATCTATAAGATTTTAAGTGAAAGTCACCTCATTTTCAATTCTTAATCGTCGTATCATGACACTCAGCGATAAGATGCTCAGCATTTTTTGACTGGAGAGAGAATAATATATTCATTGTGGAAGTACATGAGTTACACAAGAATGACCACACTCGAGTGGCTGAGCCATACCATCCGATTTATTAGTTGTCCGACCTTTCTCCATTGCTGACCCTCGCTCCGTGTTAGTTGTTGAATATGAATTTTCCCAATAATCATATATTCAGTTCCAAGATTGTGTGGTTAGTAACCACTACAAACATATGAAGAGCATTTCATAAATGTGGCCAATTCCTATGAAATAAAGATTAGAAAGACTCAACGACTACATGCTATCCAAATTAATAGTCAGCCTGAAGGCTAGGATAAATAATGAAGTGTTCAATACGATATGCTACTATATATATATCTTCAGGATGTATATGTGACAATTCTAAAAACAGCGAAGAGGTTAGCTCCTTATTCTGTTATAGTTACCGCCAAAAACATATCTGATAGAAAAACCTGTTATCCAAGTCAAGGTCTCGCAGTAATGCCCTCATCGACATTTTAGCTGTGATAATGTCTTATTAGTACTGCGGATCCTATTTAACATTAGGTCAACTGCCCATTGATCTCGTTCGGTCAGTTAAATTCCACTGAGCCCTACCCCAACGTGTTTTGCGGAGCAACATGAAATAAGCACCTTACCATACTGAGCACAATTAAGGATCAGTGGTCTCGAAAGCAGGCATAGGTAAACTAACTGAGTAAGACAAGTGTGTCATTTCTGTCCATCATAAATATGTTTTGGAAAGTGATGAACGTCCTAAAAACCTAATAATTATTCTCTAAGTCTAACTTAATAGAATGTAAACAGTTTGAATATTGACATAAAGGATTATTTTGCGGAGCTAAATACAAACATTACGTCACACCTCGTGTTTCGTTTAGAATTGGAACCTGAGTTGTCGTGCCACCATCTTTTTGCCTTTGCAGTAATGTAAGTCAAACATTTAAAATTTATACTGAAAATCCCGTCAATATTTTGCTCCTGTAAGAAATTGGTTTTGTACTAACGTTAAACGTTATTGTTACTAATAATGACCCAATCAACCAACAAAGGGGAAAATGCGTTGGAAAATAAAGGGGAAACGCGTCAAAATATCTGCTTTCTCGCCTCTCCGGGGAAATGATGAGGATTTGCCCCTTTTTGTTGCCCAACTGTCGCTGAATTGTCTGCTTTTCGCCAAAATATCCGCTGAATTGACTACTTTTCGCCTGAATATACGCCGAATTGTTTACTTTTGGTCCAACGTTTAAAACACCACTGGCATAACCCCAAAGGTCTCCCATATGGGAGAACATATGTTTACTTTTATCCCTACAACAAACCACAGTAAAACTGTAATCCACGGGGGAAAATGGTATATGTTTGAATGGTTTTATTGAAAAGGAAAAGCGCATTATTGTACATCGGTGAAACTATTTTTGTGGAGTACCTCTGAACGTATTTCTAAGTGACCTTGAGAACATTAGCCAGTCAGAAGAGAGTTAGTGTAAAGTTTTAATATATTATAAAAAACTGATGAATTACAATGGATATTCTTCTTTTACATGATTTAAGAACTTGTTGAGGTTTGAAAGTTTTGAAATCATAGTACATGCGATATAAGAACTCGTCCATATTGTGTCCATGTGTCGCGATGTCGTACAGCTTCGCAAGGTCTTTTTCGTTGACAGGATGACAAAAAGCGATTTGTTAATGCACCCGGAGTTAAGATAATAGATATAGGTTACTTCTTAAGCAGCCGTAAAACCGGCATTTCCGAAGTGCTCGCTTTGAAGAAGTGCCAAATAGCGTGAAATTACTGGTCACCTCAGGTTTCATGAAGTACGACAAAACATATCGCATTGAGGTTTTAGGATCATCATCCATTAACCTCGTTACCATCGCCATCTATAATACGAACAAATTATTAAATTAAGGTTTTTGACTTACAAATCTGTCCCTGGTTTCTTCCTGCTGCGAACCAGTGTCCAGCATCTGCAGTTCCTCTTCAGATGACGAAGGGAACTGCTGACTTGATAGTCCGCAATCGAATTGATGCGGATGTTCGCGTTCACTGAACTTCGCTAGTAACAGCTTTACATTTGTACTCAAGTCGGTGATAGCTGACGACATGTTTTGCATCATTGTATACAACCTATCAAATCTGATAAACTTCACTTGACAGTACAGGTGACTTACTGGACCGCTGAAACAGCCTACATGCTTAGATTCTAATGTTGACGGTGATGTATCTAATTGTGTCGAACTACTTCATTAACATCTATATAGTAATGAAACGTACTGGGCAACTGTCAAGGCGACTCTGTCAAATAACCGAAATTTCGGATATTGTATGTGGCTATTTCCTGCCTGCAGCTCGGCAACATCCATGTCTACTGAATTGTTAAGAAATCCTTCTTTACGTTTCAATGCACCTCTAGGTAATGTTAGTAAGATTATTTTACTGACCTCTTGGGCTTCTCAGTTTTAAGTGGCAAGGTGTTTTCTTCCGTTGAAGTGTTTTTACGGTGAAGTTCCAGTATTTGGAGGGAAACTAGCATATCCTTTGCAGACTGCAGAGAATCTATAGTAAATTATAGTTTCTATGTTTCTTATTCACCGAATTCGTGAATTACTTTACATTTCAGAACTGACCAATTGTCATCTAGTCGGTCGCAGTTGTGCAGGTGGAGGATATCGACCAGCTCCGTTGGGAAAAGGCGAAATTCTTTGCTAACAATCCACTTCTTGGCTGCTATCATGAGTTGTTTCTTGATAGGGACGTCAACAATGACGTATTGCTTGTTAGCGAGCTAAAAATAACATAATACGTAATTGAATGGTTTATCATCATGAATTAAACACTAATGAAACAAAATGCATTTACATTAAAGTATGTAACAATGGGATTAGAACTGGATAATTGATACAATTAATGGCTACACATTTACAGTCAATGTCCTTAACCGATACCCATATGTGTTCATGGCTAACTACGGAGCAAATAAATATTTCTATATCACTGGATGGGAAAGGATCTTCGAAGTAATTGCGTGGGTCAGTGAAAGACCTAAATTTTAGTAGTCCATCCTCTATATCAGTGACTAAACCAGGCTGTCCGTTTACTACTACAACATTATCCGGCTGAAATGAAGTTATTTTACTGTTCTTAAACATAATTACTTGTTTATTGTAGACCTCCTTAGCGGCTTTTGGGGAAGTGTTAGTTAAACAGCTAACGTGAAGCCTATCGCCCCCGAATGCCCTGGTATGGCCGAGAGCGGGGTGGGTTCGCCCCCCTCTCGAAATACTCTCACACGGCCACGCGAATACAGCCTTCTCGTGGCGGGGGTGTTGTTTACGAAAATGAGAGGACGAAAAGCGAATGTCCGGCGCTTTAACTGGATCCCAAACCAATGGTGCACGTGGGCTCCAGTATCCTGCGGGAACAAATGGCGTATGAACCAATTCCTTGGTCACCGGCTACCATGGGACTGCATCTCCTCACGATGCTCCACTGCCTTGTGGGTTAGACCTTTAGGTCTTTAGTGTCTCGCATTGTTATTATTATTATTATTTACTACGTCATTATTCATCCCCTTTTATTGCCACTCTGTTTATACTTATTTTTTCAACTTATACAGCAGCTCGCCTATGGTGGAAACTCGGTTCTATCTAAACGTTCTCGAGTCACTGCCTGGTTGAAAATTGTATGCTACCACCAAATACGAATACTGAAGAAGTGCTTCAGAAACCACGTGCACCATTCAAACTGGCTGCCTTCAATGTTCGCACTCTAATGCAGGTCGGACAACAGATAGGGCTGGCTATGTCTTTAGAAAGTCTTAATATCGACGTTTGTTGTCTATCCGAGACCCATATTCAAGACGCTGGTGAAATACTACAAATTCGCTCTCCATCTGTCGCTTCGAAAAGCTTGTTTTACGTGCTTTATCCGGGGACCCTGTGGCTTCGTCTGGTCTTGCTGGCGTTGGTGTCGCACTAAGCGCTAGAGCTGAGGCAGCACTAATCGATTGGATCCCTATTAATAGTCGGTTGGTTATGTGCTGTTAGATTAGAAAGTTCCATCAAAGTGAGAAGAAATCGGGGTGAGAAACGATGTCTTTTCGTCATCTCCGTCTATGCCCCGACAGATCGCAGCCCGGATGCAATCAAGGATGAGTTTTACCACTAGTTATCTGTTCTTCTTCAGAAAGTGCGTTCGACAGATATTGTAGTACTAGCCGGAGACTTGAATGCTCAGGTCGGGTGTCTAGGCGCAGAAGAGAGTCGTTTAGGTGGCTGATGGGGACTTGTTGGTCGCAGGACAGATAACGGGGACCGTCTACTGCAACTGTGTACAAACCACAACCCGTTTCTGGCTAGCACTAACTATTAGCACAGTCATCGCCGATGTGCCACCTGGCGTCCACCCTCTGCATCTCAAGCCTGGACTCAGATTGATCACATCGCGATCAGCTGCCGCTGGCGTGGTTGTGTACAAAACTGCCGCTCCTTTTGGAGTACCTATCTGGACTCTGATCATACCTTGGTTTGCGCCAATACTACCTTACTTTTCAGTGGCCAACGAAGTGACCGCCACCAAAAGATTGATGTTAGCAAGCTGGTTGCAACTTCTGTTGCTAGTAAGTATCGAACATAGCTAGCTACCATTCCACTGAAAAGTATAGATAAGTATTGGTTGCAATTGCATGACGCCATGAAAATGGCAAGTAAAATCAGTTGTGGGTTCGCGAAACGTCCCGCTAATAAGCATTGGGTTTCTTCAGGCTCCTTACAACTCATTGAAGCCCATCGGTCTACTCCGGGCGACCGTGAGTTTGACCACAAACGAAGGATGTTACGTAAGGAAATCGGGCAAAGCTTGCGTAAGGACCGAAAAGCCTGGTGGTCGGAGCGTGCTGATGAGCTGGAAGCAGCAGCTGCATCTGGTAATTACCGGATGCTCTTCCAACTCATCCGAGCCACTGGCAGCAAGAAGTCTGGTGTAAATGAAACAATCTGCGAGGATGATGGGATGCCAATCACTAACATCCATCGACGTCTTGGACGATGGGCAGAATTTTTCGAGGGGCAGTTCAACTGGCCTGCTGCTCCGGCAACACCGGTCAGACTGTCCTGCCCTCCATGGCCAGTAACGACTGATCCACCAAATGAGGTGGAAGTCCGCAAGGAACTCCAACTCTTTAAACGCTACAAATCACCGGGCCCATAGGACTTACCTACGGCTCTTTTTAAAGATGGTGGTGACTTTCTAAGTAAGGAACTGACGACGTTGTTTACAAAGGTCTGGGAACTAGAGAATGTACCAACGTCATGGAATGAGTCGATAGTTGTCCCTATCTTTAAAAAGGGTTCACGTCGTTCCTGTAACAACTATCGGGGGATAAGTCTACTTCCGATTGCGTCCAAGCTATTGGCTTCCGTCATACTTCGTAGGTTGTTCAAAACTCGAGAAAGATTGACTGGCGAGGAGCAGGCTGGGTTTCGTTCTGGTCGAGGATGTATTGGTCATATCTTCACCCTCCGCCAAATGTTAGAACACCGCCATACTTGTCAAAGGCCAACAATCGTAGTGTTTCTTGACATCGATTCGTTGGATAGGACTGTTCTCTGGGATTGTGTATTGAAGAAGGGTGTGCCTAAGAAGTTTATTAACATCATAAAAGCCCTATATACAAACACAGTTGCCAATCAGTGTCCGTACGTATGGTATGTGATTTGTATCTTCGAAGTGAAAAGTACTTCTACAAAACTGGCAGGATTCTAATCGTGTACTTATCCTGGATGGTGAGTAGATAGAAATAGTCGAGAAGTTCGTGTATCTGGGTAGCTGCATAAGTGCTGATGGGGGTGTGAGTGATGAAATCAATCCACGTATAGTGAAAGCCAGAGCGGCTTATGCCAATCTGGGCCATCTTTGGCGCCTTCGTGATGTTAGTCTGGCTGTAAAAGGTCGGATCTACAACGCGTCGATGAGAGCAGTTTTGCTCTATGTTTGTGTAACCTGGCCTCTCCGAGTTGAGGACGTTAGACAACTCTCTGTGTTTGATCATCGTTGTCGCCGAAGGATTTCTGACATCCACTGGCAACACCATATTAGTAATGCAGAGGTTCGGCATCGTGTGTTCGAGCACAGAGACGATAATGCAATTGGTGTCACCATCTTGAAACACCGACTTCGGTGGCTTGGACATGTTCTACGAATGTCGTCCCACAGAATTCCGCGTCGTGCATTATTTGCCGACTCTGGGACTGATTGGAAAAAGCGAAGAGGTGGTCAGTATATGATATTGTGTCGTGGCATGAAAGAAAGCTGTAAAGGACTTGCTTGTGTTGGTCCTTCACGACTCCCTGGCTGAGGTCCGAGAAATGGTGCTACACAGTGGCTAGAGACGTTATCAGATATGATTAAGAACAGAAGCCAGTGGCGATCCTGCTGTAACCTTCTTTTACTTTCTTCGTAAAAAGTGGTTGCTTCTTCCTTGATTGAAAGATTTCTTCTAATTGTACCTTTCCGTTCCCTCATTATTACTATTATTATTATTACACTACCTTACACCAATCTGTTCGTTATTGTTCCCCTTTTCTTCCACGCTCCTTACTTTTTTTTCTTCCTTGCCTTTAAATTCTCATTGTTTTGTGTGGCACATATATATTTGGTGCTCTCTTGTGCCAATATTTATGTGTTCAAATAGATAAATTTACAATTCATTGTTGAAGTGCTCCGAAGGATCAATAGATTATTACAGAATCTATCTACCAGGGATCCATATCAGTAATCTGACAAGTAACCAGAAACGGACATATCCTACTAATTAATGATCACAAGGCGCAAAGAGTAAAAAATTAGTCGTAAGCCTATTATACATTGGGAAAACTCACTGATATAGCTCCATAAAATCTTACGTCTTTTTTATGCATATACTCAGAGAATTGTAACAAGATTCTAGCGGGACATGAAATTATCTAAAAAGTTCTTAAAATATGTAGTATATTTGAACCACGTAACAGGAATATCGGAAAGACTCCGAGTCAGCATTTTCACGTCATTAAAAATTTATGTTCGCGAGCTTATGTAAACCAGATCCTCTATCGTGTTTTAACTGGTGAAAGGAGGCTTGTAACATTCAATGGATAACAGTCTTACAGTTGTCTACTTATGTTTTGTAGTTCTTTATCTGTGGATGTTGTGAAACAGTTTGTTGATAAGGCCAATTAAGATTTCCATGTCGTTTTATTTGAATTTTGAAAAAATTTCATTATTTTGTCCTATCCATTTTAATTTTTCAGAATCTCTAATCTAGTTAACGATTACAAACGTTTCTTATTCAAGTTTGTTTAACTTAGTTATATTCTGGACTTTGCACAAATGGTCGCTGATGGTGAATATTCCGATGTACACTTTCTACAATCTAATATTTCACTTTATGAGGATTCTTCTCTGATAGACACTGGAACCTTAAAAATATCTGAGGAGTAAGTTATGGAGATAGGTTATATTAAAAATATACATGAAATATAATGATACCGTTAGGCTTATCACTCATACTGGATTATTAAAATACTGAGTTTACTTTCCAATAGTTGGTGAAAAATCAGTTTTGCTCGTGTAAAAAGAATTAAACTAAATAATTGGGAATTCACATTTGTTGTATTCTTATATGTACCGTGTATTTGCTTACATTTCACTTTCGCTCGTCCAGATCACTTATCTGAAGGACAATAAAATCACGATAAGTCGCTGACAAATCTCCAGATACTCGTGTTGGTTCACCAATAGTTAGGCAAGGCTAACTGGATAATTACCCTTGGGCCTTGTGTACGGATTCCAAAGAAACAATATACGTCTAGACCACCTATTACCACTGTGCGCAATGCTGACTATTGTTGGAGACGGATGGGAGAAAGTTAGGGGCGGTCAAACCAAAACGTGGCATCAGTCCATAAAGTCACTAACTTCTGGTATGAGCTATGCTGGTAGATGCAGACTACTTTGTTGGGATCCGCGTGATTATCGTAACCAATGGTTGGAGACTCTGTATGACATGGCTCACAATCGATCACAATGGCGTAGGTGTATACGGTCTTTGTCTTCCCTCAAACTATGAGATTAAAATTGCTTTATATCTTTCTTTCTACGAACTAATTCTTTCTTCCTAAAATATATCCTTATCGGCAATCTCTCTTTTATATATTACCACTGTAGTGAAGGAGAACACAAGTGAGGACAACCGAATTGTATTTAGCACAAATTACAGAGTTACTTGGTGAAATAGAAAAACCATATCGTCAATCGTTAATTTGCAAAATATCATTCCATCATATCAAACCGGACTGTTGCTGTTGCAAACACCAATCCATTGTCTCACATTTCATTGTTCATGCGATTTTTTACAAATTACATTGTGTTCTCGCTCTTCCTTTCTTGATTTTCTTTATGTTCTGCTGCCAGACATTTCGTTCTTTTAACTCACGTTATATACTACTTATATCAATATAAGTAGCACGCACCACACCACTGAATTAACTACTTATATCAATCCGGTGTTCATTTTGTTGTGTTAATGAGATATGGCAACTTGAATCATTGCACATATGTGCCTGATCCTACGTTGTAGCTGACTGACTAAAAAGACAGAAATAAGTAAGATGCAACCTGGCGCACAAATATTTATCGATCTTGTTATATTTTTACTATTGACTAAAATTACACATTAATTGTCACTTTTCACTCCACCTCTAGTCTAAACTGACTATTCATAACTATTTAAAAGTTCTCTTTGGAAGTAGAAGTAATATTGATTCCTTTATACTTACTTGTAGATGTTTTACATGGGAAGGTACATCAAAACAATTCTTTATTCCTTATTCACAAATAACCTTACATGCTATTGCCAGGAATACGGTAGACCAGACTGGAGATCATCCCAATAATTTGTTTCCTCACCCACATTTATTAGTAATGATCGACGGAGATCGTGTATGGGATTCAAATAATACTGATAATTTATCTGATACGAAGTCACAGAACGAGCAAGATGGCATGCAAATTGATGCAGAAGGTTCAGACGAAGAAAAAGAAGACTCTGATAGTGATCGCGCTCCAGACTGCCCTGGTTCTACGTCCGTCCTCCGCTTGGTTCCACAAGATTCTGCACAGCTCGAAGACATGTATAAAGCACTAGCCGACTGTCAGGCATTAAATCCGGATCCTGAAGATGATAATTCAGACTTCGAGGGTTTCGAAGAAGATGATGAATATGAAATTAATGATCAGGGCATGGAATTCGAAAACCATACGAATAGTGAGTTATATTACTAAATAGCTAAACGACTTTCTGTGATAAGTTTATTATTTTTTCCAAACGAGTTAAATAACCACTAAGGCAACGTGAAACTATTGTGAGAAGTAATCTTAAGTGCATAGTTCGATTTAATTTTTTGCTACATATCTTTGTCAGTAGAGGGATTTGTAGAAATTTTATTATTTTTAACAGTTCAACTCACGAGTCGATTTACGCTGGATCACCATCGAAGACCTGAAAGCACTGGACGACCGTTTCGTCCCAGTATGGGACTCCTTGTCCAGTGCCTCCAGGTTTTCAATGTTGGTCTAGCTCAGATCGACTCGTGAATTCAACTGTTGAAAATATTTATTATTACTGTTCAAGGTTTTTACTTCTCATCCTCTTTCTAAACGTTCACACCTATCATACTGTACGAAATTTACACTTCGTTGTTGCAAACATATTGACCTAAAATAATGTTACGCTACAAAATATAAAACTAATGTCATAAAATGATATCCCGACTTTAAAAAATCGTGAACTCGCCTTCTTATCCCGGCTTGCCAATAACCTTACATGTATACCCATGTGCTGTTTTCTAATAACTAGTGATTGCTTCCTTTGATACTCATTGGTTATTTGAGTCATGCTCCCTTGAAATAATGAGTTTTAATAGCATAACAAGTAATTAGATAAGTCTTCATCGAATCTCATTCATATGATACATAATAATTCTGAAGGTGTTCGTAAGTTATACGTTGCATAACCATATTATTTTATCGCACAATTTCCTCTTTAACACTTCAATAGTTAATTCAAAGTTAGTTTTATCGGTGACTGTTTAGCTATGTTAAACTGATTATTTTTCTGATTGAGATCATGAACCGATTGGCGTTAGACCACCATTGAAAACCTGAAGGCACTGGACGGCCGTTTCGTCCTATTGTGGGACTCCTCAGCAATGCGCATTTCTCTAAATAAAAGTTTTTAGCCTCAGTTATTGTTTGATACAGTTTTATAGTATATAATCATACATCCTATGAAGCCAAAACTGTTTTCTGACTTTATCCAGACTAAAGTGCATTTGTCTAATTTCGACTTAGCTGTGTATGATGGATGTCCCCAATATCTCAGATCGAAAGAACTGGCATAAAACAAATTCAATAAAATAATATATGATCCAGCTCTCACTTCAGATAGTCTTGACTTTTTAAGGGTATAATTATTTTCCCAATAATTCTGTTCCATAACAATAATAACATTATGTCAAATATAAGCTACTAGAAACGATGAATTAGTGGTTAATTCAATTTCTCAAGCAGTTGGTCACAGGTTTGCACCTCAGTCCGCCTGCCTTGATTTAGGGAACTGGATAGTATTACAACCAGCCCTCCTCGTAAATCAAATCCTAGTACATACACTTGTATTTTATAAATAAATTAAATATTGGTGAATATCATCATGGACTATAGTCGACGACATTTATTTGTTCGTTATTTTCAATGACTAAAAATTTCCACCGCTCGTTTTTCAAAACAAATTGTAGATAATGGAAGATTCGGTGAACCGGACCAGTTCGCAGATGCCTAACACTTTTTTTGTAAAATAATTGATGTATTTTGTAATTAACCATTTAAAACGAATATATTTCCTATTTTATTGAATATTGTTTTCTTCCTCAATAAGTACATAATACCTAGTTATCGTCAAAATCAAGGTAAACTAGAATTCATAGTTATAAGGTGGAACTCTACGTAGACAAAAATAACTTGAGAGGTATCAAACGAAAGTCTTGGATTGAATTAATACCTAAAGTCTTCAATAAAATCAGCACAGTTCGGCGAGCTGATTTATATATTTTCTTTTACCTTACATGCAAATGATCCCTTCATAAACAATTGTTATTTTGTATTGACTGGACTTCTCTGTCTTAGCGATTCGTTCAAGATCAAATCTCCAAAGATTAGTGACCGCAAATTGTATTGTGTTAGGGTATGTATGCTAGGAAAGGGACGAACAGCTGCACAGTAAAGAACTTACAGCACCGTAGTACTCTGTACATATTAGAATCGATAGTTTAATATAGAAATCGCTTCCTCGAGATCTGATTCGCCAAGTTATAGTTTCAGTAATAAACGTTTCGAATTGATGTTATGTCTCTTGCTCCTGTCAATTACCAGTGACAAAATCGTCAGTCCAAATACCGACTTGTGCGGTCATGGAACTGTGCCACACCAATGACGCGTTAACCACCACGAGTAGCCTAGAGTCAACTATGAGTTCTTAATGGTTCTTCTTGCCTAGCCCCGTCTTTTTAAGTTCAGAACAAAATCTCAGCTTCCACTGTATGAACCAAGTATTTCGGACATACGTAGTTTATATACAAGCAGACCAGACCACATTATAAAATAAAAAATAATAATTGTACAGGATCAGGCCAAAAGTGGCTATGAATGTGGGAGACTGTAACTCATAGAATAGTAAGTTGTATAATAATAGCCAATAGGTTAGTTGAATGCTTATGACAGGAGTATATATATATATATATATAATTACTTAGGAATATGCGTATAATAACAGTCTATGAACAGTTACACTTAATTTATTCTACTTCGGATACAGCGATAGACCTCTTTGAAAATATTGCAATATGTTTTTCATGGAACAACATTGAAATTAGCAATCCCTGTATCGGAGTTCCAAAATTTTATCTGAAGGAAATATAGCATTTCATAACGAGTTACCCAAAAAACAATTGATTGGTTTCACTCTCACTCAACAAGAGTTTTTTATTAGTTTAATGGGGATTTCAGTTATTCACTCAATGTCAAACCACCCGAGTAGTTGAGCACACAGTTTTGGTTAAAGTAGATAAAGTTATAATTCTCACCTAGAAGTAAAGCACATTTACTTACTGGTTAGCGTTTTTTTAGAGAGTTAATTTTCTACAGGATGGGGTCACTAACCCCATGCCCAACCCTCCTCCTTTATCCGGTCTTGCGACCAGCAGTAACCCCAGAAGCGCTCCAGGTGGAGTTAGAGCGCATTTACTTGTAGTCCACACACGAGAACTCTGCTAGAGTTACATGGTCAATAAATTTGAAGTAATGTCTCCTGTATACTCCCGCGCTTATTAATATAATTTTAAGTCGCATGTAGTTGCAGTTCTACCCTCTAGTATCCCTCATATATGTGCTTGATATTAACTGTGGCATTAAAAATCTCATCTAGGCATGTCATACAAACAAGGTAGAATGCGAGTCGGTATCAGTATTTAAATAAAAATATTTGGTTACTTTTATTGTTGAAAAGAACTTTGACAGAAACAAGTGATAAAGCATATCAACAGTTAAATAATCGGGTAAGTATGTGTACACTGCTGCACACACATTTGTTGTCCTTGCTAGAAATACAACTTTAGTTATGCACCGGATTTGTAGAGGCTAATTCCTCTCTATTTGTCTCCAAAAGATAATATCCCGTTAACTGACTATTTAAGCAGACTAATTCTCCTAGTAGTACTAGAAATTTACTCGAGAATACTCAAAGGCCAGAACACCAGTTGTTGGGATAGTGAGTGTATTAATAATAATTAATAAAATTCGCGAGCACGCAAAAGGCAAATGCACTGGGAAGCAAGAGTGTAAAGGTCAAGAAATCTATGCATTTTATGAGCGCTGATTAACTATGAGTAATTCGTTGATTGTGTAAACAACCAATGGGCGGATAGATAAAGATTGAGCTCAATTAGACTCACACATACTTTTACATAGTGGGTGAATGTCTAAATTACAGCAGATAGGTGATAAAAAATTCAATGAGCTTAATACTGAATTCCAAAATGATGCAAAAAGTATCAAGACAATTGATAATATACACAAATATAAATACTCACAAAGAAAAAATTGCGGGACTTTAATTAAGCAGTTAGTAGGATGTGTGTTCGAGTTTTGGTCTCGTAATCGACAATTATAAGAATTAGCCAATAGTTCCAAATACGATAGATATAATCCAAAATAAATAATCATGTAATGGGAATGTCTGCAAACGCAAATAACTGCAACTGATAAGTGAGAACAAGAAGTATGTGCGTGCAGCAATGTATCTAAGAACGAAAATCAGTGTTTCATACAAGTAGAGAACAGAATGGTGTCAGAAGATCAAGATCAAACCTAAACGAACATTTAACAGTCAATAATAGTAATTATATATATGACAATCTCCATAGTAACTATCATAATTATGAAACTAAAAATCATGGAGGAAAAATCTACTATTTAGTAAAACACAAAGTTTATAATAGAAAAATCTTTGTATTTAGGATTATGGTTAAGTAATAAATTTTTTTAATTATAATGTTTGTTTATTATGTTAACATTTCAATACGATTGTTTTTACAATACACATCCAACTCTTATATTCAAGATGAATAATTGAACTCTTCAAAGTATGGAAAAAAGATTGTACTTCATATATTCCCATCCAATCATCATCATCATCGTTCTTTCACTTTTATGGAACAAAGTTATTTGTTTTTATTCAATGTCAATGAAAATCTCAATTTTAAGGCAAATTAAATTACAAAAAGATTTCTTACATTATTTTAGATCAACAATAACACCAAAATTTAGTTAATTCATTATGGATTATACAGTCAGTCAGTCAGTAACAACGTAGAACTTAGTACGTACGTACATCAGTTCGAGTTGCTATACCACATTAGCAGATGAAAAATAAAAAATACAAGTAATACTCATCTTTTTTAAAAAAAAAAAGATGTTTTCCATATGTCATTAAGATATATCTCTATGTAAGTCATAGATCTACTCTCAAAATTCTTGTTTATGATATTTATGGAGATCTTCTAGAGAAAAAGAGAAAAATAATAAAATCAATATTTGGAATTTAAACTTTGAACATGATAATTAAAAAGCACTAATGACAATAACAACAACAATTGGAGATAGATGTACACAATAATCAATAATTATCTTTGGAATAATAGATACATGTTATACTCTCTTTCTTACGGTTATAACCCAGCTATTCCTATTGTTTAGTATTCTTGAACACCAAATCACTCGACAAGTCCCCAAATCAGAACATGGTTGAACAGGAAAGAGATTATATTCCAAATAACAAGGTTAGATGGAAGCAAGTAAGTAAGCACAATAGGGAAAATGTTAGTATATTTATAGTTTTTACATGAGAAGATTCTAGAGTATTCTCCAAGTATCAACTGATGCTGATTGGATAAGAATTAGCCAATCAGCGTACAGCAAAGCAATCGTGCATTGAGCATGCTTTAATCCAGTCTATGTTCCGCTAACAATACACCTTTAAAATATAAATGTAATATTGAACACTTGTATAATATAGGTTTAGAAAAAAAACAGCAAAGAAAAGTAAATTTATACAATTTTTATTCAAATGTGACTAAATCATACGTCAAGCTCATTAAAGATAAGCCTAACAAGTATTTTCTTCCTTCAAACATGTTCGCACTACATACGACGCGTTGTTTAATAGCACGAACGGCGGCAAAATGATCTCCATTATATATCATCTCCACTTGCTTACATCAATCCAAACGATAGACATTTACACGCTTTGTTCAATATATTCAACAACAAAAAAACATAGTTTCGAAGACAAATGTTCTACGTAGTTCGATAGTCCGATAACTAAGACTGGGCATAGAAAGAATGCAATAAGTACATTTATGCTAACCAACAAAACAACCTAATTCTAGATTATTCAAATTTGTGAATTATAGCGCAAACCTGCCCTTTATATTATTCCCTCAAATTCCCGACACAATGTATCCCATGGCCTTTCTCTTTTCTATTTCCCTTCAGGATTCCAAATTAGGGCTTGTTTCATGATGCGGTTTGATGATTTTCATAATCTTCATCATACCCACCTATTAAGTCTTTTCTCTACAGCCAGAGCTAGCTTGTTTTCTCCCACAGCAGCTTGTTGTTAATGACATCTAGTCAATGGATATTGAGTATCTTGTGTGTTGTTAAATTCCTGTACATTATTGATGACGGTTGTAGTAGTTCTTCACGTTTCAGCTCCGTACAACAGAACTGTCTTAAAGTTTATATTGAGATTCTGACCTTGATGTTGGCTTGCAGACAGTTGTTCCATACGTTCAAATGTTCTTCAATTGTGGGAATACTGCTCTTTGTCAATCCCTGCACCCACACATGCATCAAGTTCTGCAAATTACAAATGATGCTGACCAGATATCTGAAAGTCTCCACCTCTTCCATAGCATCTCCACCAATTGTAATTGTGTTGGTGCTCTTTGTGTTGTATTACAGGATCTTGCTTTTTTCTTGTGTATGTTGATTACTACTTTTGCACACACGGTTACTAAACTGACTGTCTTCACCTTTGTGTGTTGGTTTACGATAGAAGATCTAGGTCATCTGCTAAACCCAAATCGTCTAGCTAAAACAAAGCGGTCTATTGTGACAAAGTTACTATAAGGTTTTTCCCTCCACTAAGAAAAATCCTTTCTCGTAGTTAAGGACCTTGCAGTGTAGTGACTTGTCTTCGAAATAAATCCTTAGGTTACGTTCATCAATCACCCTGATAACCGTTATTAAATAAATTCCGATGGCGTATGAACTCAGAAGGCAAAAAGAAGCAGCGATTACAGTTTATTAGCGGATAGCACATTCAAGTGATTGCTCAATAATAATCTATGGTATTCTACGGAACCTTTCATCTCATTCAACAACATTGTTGAAAACTTTTCCCCGTAGAGATAGTCTATGCTACTTATGCGTGTCGACGCCAGTCGGGAATATGGCAGCAAGAGGTTAAAAAAAATCGAGTTGGAGAAAACAGAACGGGGATAGAAAGGGTGTATGACTTGGAAAAATCGTTCAGAATGTGAAAGACAATTGATGAGAGATTTGTAACTGAAGTATTTAATGTACGGTTTTCACGTTTTACGAATTCTGTAATTTTCTTCAAACTATAAATTCGTTGTCCCCACCAGGGTTCTAATCCGCTACAATACTAATGTGATGCTTTAGTAGTCCTCAAACTTTCTCGGATCTTATTTTCTCGGTATCCTTCTTTACAGTCTGTTGGCACTTATTGTTCCTCACAAGTCTTTCTCAATAGAATGTGGAGCATGTTTGCATTTACTCCTATTTCTGACTTCAGTGCTTCAACTGGCGTGTTATCTAGTCCTGATGCTTTCCCACTCTTGCTATGTCTGATACCCGTGCCGATTTTTTTCATCGATGAACGAGTAACATTCATGAGAAATCAGTAAGTGATACTTCGACGTCTGGTAAGTTCAGCGGAGTCGATCTATTCAAAGTATTCTTCACAATTGTCCCTCTGTTCTTGAATCCCAGTCATTGGTTTGCCTTCTGTGTTCTTGACTAATCGCTTTAGTTTGCTATATTTCCCTACCAGTTTATTCGTTGTACCACGTATTTGTCGCACATTTCCTCCACTTGCATCTTTTTCCGCCACCATTGCTAAATCTTACACGCATTTCTACTTGTCGGATCTACTGTTCTTCTTCACTCTCTTGTTTTTTTCTGTATTCGGTATGTGCCTTGACCTTTTCTGATAGTGTTCGACTGTTGTAAAATGCTGTCTTCTGATCTTATGTCCGATACCTTATCAGTTTTCGGGCTTGGGATAGGCAGTAACCGTAGCAGCGTTATAAGAAGCGCCGTGAGTAGTGCGTTACATACTAGAGGTGAGATATTACAAATACCCTACATTAATAATAATGTGCTCACTGGTGACTAGCTTCAGGATGCAACTCCTAGGACTTTGGTCAGAAACCGAGACCAGTTGAGTTTTATCGGTGTCGAGTGTGAGACAGTTATCCACCGCAGACAATTAATGGAGGTTGCACAATATCGTAAACTAGTTGTAGTCATTAACGCCGTTGGATGCTACATCAATGATCCAAAGGTTTAGCGTCAACAAATGTAACCGAAGTCCCTGGGTTTGGTTCCCAATTAGGCAGTTGCAAATACGAACTTCTTTACTAGGACGAAACGGTAGTCTAGTGCATTCAAATTTTCAACGGTTGTCGATCTAGTTGAGATCAGTTCATGATTGTGAAAAAAATTAACTCTGAACTGTTTTTACATTCGAAAAACATCGTTTCTTGTTTAACAATTAGTTTTTTTTCGAATCCCAATGTGTCGCAGTAATTGAGCACAGTCAAACTTATTACCAACTGAAGAAAAAGTAAAGAAACAAAATGAGTACTGTAATTAATGCAGTTTTTGTCTTATCTAAATTTGCAAAAGGAATCGAATGTATGAAAATAACAGTAATGATATACACACATGATTAACATCATAACAAATAGTAGAAATAAAGACATTTGTAAGAGATGGGATACTATCTTTGGACTGGAAAATGTTAGTTCATATTTCTATATTTAATAAACAGTTTAATTGAACAGATCGTGTAGAGCTTAGTATTCGTCAAAGATCAATTTTATTTGGACTATCATTAAAAAGCAAGGAATATTAATACAACAACTGAGATCGTTTAGTATTGAATATTAACTTACAAATTCAAGAAATAAGTCAAATTATAAGATAATAGTCAGAAGTTTATTAATCATAAGTATAAAACATTTTCAAACCTCCAATCCAACTGGAATAATAATAGGAATTATCTATATGAGAGAATACAAATAAACAATATAAAAGATATTAAATATATTATAAAAGTTATAGTCAAAACATCAATTTTGTAAACTGTTTATAAATACATAAATACAATAGGCAAATAAATATACACCATAGAGCTATTATAATAAAAGAAAAGCAAAACATGTTTAAGCAAAAGTCACATTTATCTTGACAATGAACATTGATATGATGCAAATTAGAGGAATTAAAAACAATAAATAAATAGCATTCCGAATCAACAGTATAATTGTACGAGAATTTATTGGAATTGACGAAGATTACATACTTGTATGTATTTACTAACTAATTCAATAGATGTAAATGCAATACAAACAATAATTAAAGTGAAAATAAAATCATGAGTACTTCATTTATTTAATTAATAATAATAATTCAGTTTTATAATTAATATTTACTTAGTGTACACTAAAAATGCCCTAATAAATCGAGAGTGGGGAGAATCAGCTCTTCATCTCGAAATGCTTTCAAGTGGCCACGTGCATACAACCACTGACAGGGAAGTCTTACTCACTGAATTCACGCCGCGTTACTGTTGTTTACGAAATTCAGAGGACGAAAAGCAAGTGTCCGGCGCGTTAACCGGGTTGGTGGATATGAAGGATCCATCTAGGGAAGTTAGAAAACCTTGACTTCGAACCAATGGTGCATATGAACCAATTGTTAGTGACCGGCTACCACAGGACTGCATCTCCTTAAATTGCTCCACTACCTTGTGGACTAGACCTTTAAATCAAAGGCTCTGAGTGTGGCCCCCTAAGAAAACCACCTGCTTTGGTTTGGGCACCCGGGTAGTATCCTCGCCTCTACATAAATCGAATGGTTTATGTGGCGCATATCTGTTTAGTGCCTCCTTGTACCAATGTTTATGTGTTTAAATAAATAATAATAAATTTGTGTACACTAGAAATCACTATGTCTCATCGAGAAAGAAAAGAATGGCACAAGTAATAAATGCAGTCTCCTCAACACGTTAACAAGTTCAATAGATCAACGAGCTTAAAACTTACCACATAGTTTACATCAATTTATACAATTGAATACAATAACTCTTAATATGTTATTATGTTATAGATTGTATGACGAAAGGATATTTTAATAAAAGTATACTATACTGATGACTTTGGATGACTGACTTATTAGCCAATCAGAAAATAATACCTAGTTTAGTTATAAAACAATGAAAAGTAATAACATTACAATGGAATGATACTTTTGATATGATTGATTAACGCTTACACGTTTAACTATTCATTATAGCAAAAGAAAATAATTAGGTTCACATATTAGTAGTTAGGCTAGTGTTATGTATTTAGATTGTAATACTATAGGGTTTTTGTCCCTAGCTAACTTCAACCATAATGCAGTAAAGCTTCGCCAGCTTTTTGTTTATATACTTAAGAAAGCTAAAGATGAGATTATAAGTCGGGAATTAGAATAGGAGAGTATTATATAACTACACAAATCACCTTAATAATACGTTAAACCATATTGAATAATCGAATAAACAGTATACACCAAGACCAGACATTTCTCTTAATTTAGCACACACACCACGTTTTAAGTTTGTTTTACATTGTTCTTACTCGCTATTCTTCCACTCTTTTATGTAGTGTTTTATACTACATACTTACATTAAGTAAGTAGTTTTAGACCCAGTAATTTTTAGACTGATGTTGCAACATAAGTTCATCGTGTAATATTCTGAAATATTTACATATACGTTTCTTGTATTTATCATTATGATTACTTTACCTCAACCACTGTAGCAGTTATCTATAGCTTTGTGTATTTGTTTAAATGCAACAGTTTCCATATTGTTTTGCTTTCGGTTCGGGTTTCGCTTGTTGATAAACTGTTACCAAGTTTAGACACAGCTATCATATGTCTTTTGTACTGTTGTATGTTGTAATTATTCTTCATGTTACCGTAACGGAAAGTCCTTTTTTCCATACAAAAGAACGCGTTAAACGCCATAGACACCTCACAAGTTGAGGTTTGTAACTAATTTTTGTGTATTATTCAATAAAGAATCGCTATTCTAGACAAATCGTTGTTTTGAGAACTTCAATTTTGCGCATATCTCAATTGGGTGACCTGGACGCTTCGATAGATCTAACATCATGTCGTATCCAACATTTGATTGAATACTATATTTTTTTCCTTAGTTTCAACCACATAAAAAATCAAATAATGTCAAGTCTCACCTAGTTCATAATAAACATATAAGCTATATTTTATTGCACTTTCCATTCCGCGCAAAAATTTATGAGGCGCTATTTTACATTTGATTAGCTCACTCAATGCCGTTAGTATGGTATACTTTTACCTGTATTTTTACTATATACAGCTGCTTTAAAATAACCAATCGTACAGCGGGTTCGTACATGTATTATATATGTGAGTATAAGTTAAATAAATTGAAATCTTAAAGGTTTTATTGTTCAATTTCATACAGATTAAAGGACATAAAACTATTGGTTTAGAATCCTTATATACCAATGAAAACGGTTTAAATTTAATTAAATTTCCAATAATGTTTTTATTTATTTATTTATTTAACCACATAAACATTGGTACAAGGAGGCACCAAACAGATATGCGTCACATAAATCATTCGATTTGTGTGAGGGGTGTGATACTGCCCGAATACCCAGACCGAAGCAAGTGATTTTCTTAGGGGGCCACACCCTGAGCCTTTGACCTTAAGGTCTGACCCACAAGGCAATGGAGCATCGTGAGGAGATGCAGTCCCATGGTAGCCGGTGACCATACGCCATTTGTTCCCGCAGGATCCTGGAACCCATGTGCACTATTGGTTTGAGATCCAGTTAAAGCACCGGACATTCGTTTTTCGTCCTCTCATTTTCGTAAACAACACCCCTGCCACGAGAATGCAGTGAGTAGGACTTCCCTGACAGAGGCTGTATACGCGCGGCCGTGTGACAGCACTTCGAGAGGGACGGAGGGTTCACCCCATTCTCGGTCATACCAGGGCATTTAGGGGCTCCAATAACATTGACTACTAGTAGTGAAATTTATGGGAGAAAAAAATAGTTAATTATAAGTGTTCAGCTTTTATTATAAGAGACTGATTTTAAAACTTTCTATTTCCCCCACTAACATCCTTTTGTTAAGCAAACTACTAGAATGAGGTCCATGTGATTATCGTAACCAAGGATTAGAGACTGGGTGAAATGGGTCAAAATTATTTATTATTTGACTTTCTCATAGATCCTAAATTTGTAAATTCTTTGTTTGTTTTTTATTCCACTAATTTATATTCTCTATAATCGCATGTTAAATTTTTTTTCTATTACTACTAACACTGTTACTAATTCTACCATGTCTGGAATTTGTACCGACATTTTCATTTCACTGTGCTTTTGAAGTAGCCCAACTTGCGTCGATGTACATATGTTCCAGGTTATACATTGAAAAGTGGAACTACAGTGACTGATAAATAACCTAAACTAGAGATGAAACGCAAATCTAATGTCAATCAATTTCACCTACTTAATGCATTGATCAATATGATGTATGATGAATGCTATAAATGAGTGTTTATTTGTAATTGTGATTCAATTATCAGATACTGATACACCATGGACTAAAACGATGCTTTTGATGATTAGAGTTACTATATTGATTTCTGCTGTGATCTTGTCTACGCTAACAATGAGGATTTTATAAAATCAGTCAATTTACAGGGTAATGTTCGACTCCTTACTTGAAATCTTCACCTGTCTCAAAACTATCAATCAGAACACTAGAAAAGCCATCTCAGTACTGTGTAGAATTCGTTTGTATAAAATACATGACGATGATGTACTATAAATAATTAACTGCAAGGTGTACGTACCAAAGACACTTTTTGGTAACAAGTGAACGGAGATAGTAGACAGAATACCTTGGACCTAGGTTTCTTTTTAGTCGGCAGTCGTCAGAAAATGGTACTTCAAAACTTCAGAGAACTGATTATTAATATAGGATTCAAACTTGTGCAATCCAGTTTGACAGCCCGAGACACTAACAGCGAGCTATTCGGGCAGCAACTAAGCTCCTTGAACGAGCTTGAAGGTTCGTCTTATTGACGAGTACCAACTAGCGTGGAACCTAGTTTTAGGGTGCTGTTGTCAACTACTTCTGATCATCTAACATCAAAACACAGTGCACATGATGTTCCGACACGCAGATTATTGTCCTCCTTGCAAATGATTGATGAAATTCGATCAGTAATAAAAAACTGGACAAACACAATATTGATCACTATTCGGTGAGAAATCAATTTACATTTATGGTATAAATCTACGTATCAGGTTTATAATTAGTTAATAATAATCTACTACCTGCCAAAGATTTGGTAATAGTTAATGAATAAAACAAAAATTTAAAACTGGAAGATCTAAAAACACTATAAGCCCAATGCTTACTAAACAAACAAAAAATACATAGATTGATTCACGAGATAAGAACTTTCATATTTTCATTGATCTGTCCAGCAGCAACAACTTAACAATTTGATAGTTGGACTTTACACACAATTATTCATATAGCTGTATTAAAAACTATTTGGAAACAAACTTACTTTGCACTCGTTGAAGATGTCCTTCGTCGGTGCAGATTTGAACTATTCCAAAATAATACACTTGGTCTACGTTCGGTAACATCAATATTGGCTAACGAACCAATAAATTTATCAGCTCCGTCTGATGCGTCCAAATTGGCTTCTGCAGCACCTCCATCAGTTGCAATTTTTGTCCAGTCTGGTAGTACAATGTCTGTAGTATTCCAGTATGCATCACGTACAAGATCAGGATGCTCATGATGCATTCCATCAACAATTAGATAAGAAACCTACTCAAAAGATTTCCGAAAAAGCGCTGTATCCAGTCAATCGAAGCTGTGATTAGCCAGCGGGAAAAAACACACATAATATTGTTTTATATATAATTGACTTATATTTTAATGTGAAGAATTTGATTCTACAGTCATCTATACACAACGTAGAATCTAGTAAATATATTCTTTCGTTCAGATTACTACACCACATCGAAACAGAGGAATTCCAGTGTAGTATAATTACTAATATCAGTGGTAGTAGAAAAAAAACTAGGTATTTAAGGAAATACGGATCAGTGGAATTAGAAAATCATGAGAATGATCAAGAGAATTACCATGAAACATATCACTCAAAGTGACAAATCACAAAATAAACAAACGGTTTTGTGCGTACAAAATTATCACAATTGGGCCACCATCTAAGACTTAATTCAATATTTCATATATCAATTTTACTGACAATATTATCCATACTTTTCACACAAAAAATCAAGTATTCGATTTTGAGTTACATATTTCTTTTTTGTGTAATGGGTACGAATTAGTGTCAAATCGGTTGAAAATCAAGTATTCACAATAATAAGCTAATAGTATAGAGCTATTGAATTTGGATGAAATTTTTTTAGTATGTTGTATTTATACAAATTACAATCAGTCAGTCAGCTACAACGTAGGACCAGGCACATATGTGCAATGATCCAAGTTGCCACATCTCATTAGCACAACAAAATGAACACCGGATTCATAGAAGTAGTTAATTCAGTGGTGGTAATATATAAAAGAAAGATTGCAGATAAGGATATATTACAGGAAGAAAGAATTAGTTCGTAGAAAGAAAGATATAAAGCAATTCTAATCTCATAGTTTGAGGGAAGACAAAAACTGTATACACCTACGCCATTGTGATCGATTGTGAGCCGTGTCACACAGAGTCTCCAACCATTGGTTACGATAATCACGTGGACCCCAACCGAGTGGTCTGCATCTACCAGCATAGCTCAGACCAGAAGTTAGTGACTTCAAGCACTGATGCCAGGTTTTGGTTTGGCTACCCCTAATTATACAAATTACATAGACTACATATCAAGTTTGTTAAACCAACTTATCTAGAACAGAATTATTGAATGTAAATTTTTATTCGAATAGGTATCAAGCATGCACCATAAACGAGGCTTCATCAAACTATATTGAAATAGTTCAATGAATTCATCGAATATCATGATTTAAAATTGATTTATTTACAATTTTTAAATACTGTCATACAGACAATCAATGTTGTTATCAATGAATGAACGGAAAAAAATATAATCTGCACTTTTAAAGAGAGCAAGAAGAAAGATTGATGCAGAATAATAAATGGATTCATTTTTTACTTCTTTAGGTTCTCATCATCTGTTTACAACCTAAAATATTTGAAAATCAACGTTATTACAGGTATTGACATACTTATAATTACGAAGGTGATTAGAGATCATTATATGTATCATTAGTTAATAAGGTCATAAGAATTTATTTGGGATAAACAAAGTTTCGGAGGGAAAGTTCTAGAACATTGAAATAGTGTTTAGAACTGATGAGGTTAACAAACATTAGATGATTGTGTAATTAAGTAACTGAAAATAGATTAATAGCAATAAAGAAAGATATGAATTGAAATCAGTCAATTAAGAATTCAGAAAAATGATATAATTTAATCTTCAGAAAGAGTTGAAATAATGAATGATGTAAGGGGGTTTAGTGTTACCAAAGAAAAGAAATGTTTATTACTGTCTCTTTTTGTATACATAGATCTGGTTTTAAACGTTTGATTGCTATGGCTTCGGTAAATTTCAAAAGGTTGAAGTTTGATTGTTTTTTAATCACTTTGAACGACTTCAGTGTATCGACTTCATGTCCTGTGTCAAGGAGATATCTTGCAATGGCACTGCTGACCTTATTAACTCTATTGAAATGTTTGCCACATCATGATACATCTTTAATCAACCTCGTACTTATGTATAAGTATGTCAATATCTGTAATAACATTGATTTTCAAATATTTTAGGCTGTAAGCAGCTGATGAGAACCTAACGAAATAAAATGAATTCATATTATTCTGCACCAATCTTTGTTCTTGCTCTGTTTAAGATAATAAAGGGAACTATGTGTATGAAATCTTCACTTTGTTGCCAACTTGTATCACAGTTAATCAAGAGAATATTGTAAAAACACTTCTTAAGTATTATATGTGAAAATTATATTTGAAATATTCTCAGCGATTGAAATTTATGTAATTCCAACGTTTCGTCCAGACAAGTTAGCTGGACGAAACGTTGGAATTACATAAATTTCAATCTCTGAGAATATTTCAAATATAATTTTCACATATAATGACTTCTCTATACTCGGCGCTCAATTATTGTCAAACTATTCGTCCTAATCTTGACGAATATTCGTATAAACTTCTGAAGTACTGTTTGCGATGATCATATTTCGTTTACTTTTATCAATATCAATCAGGTTTGAAAACTTGATTTTTGTTGACATCTTCTCTATACACATGTAGAATCCTTTTATTTGATACGATCTATTCTTTTAATTAACTTATCTAATAATTGCTCTTTTTAGAGAGAAAATAAATTGACTTTAATGTCGTCTACAAATCTATCTCTTTGAAAATTGACAGTGCCAACAAATAATCTACAATCAGTCGAGAAAAAAAACTAATCAATGATGAACCACATGAAAAATTGAATCATTCTATGTTGAAGAAATACACCACGTGGTCATAGTTATTTAAAGTTATGTTTTCGTTTCTACCACGTTTTATCTAAGTGAGTTGTAGAGGTACTTGTTTCAACTAGAATACTAGTAATTCATTTGTGTTATTTTCTCGAACTATTGGGGAAACTATCGAGGTGTGTTAAATAGCCAGGACAAAACCACTCGCGAATGGCTTCATTTACACTTTTTAAATTTGAACTTGTATTGTTTTGGGCCATCCATCTTTCTTTTTTACCACAAATAAAGCAGTTATTTTCTAACTGAATCGTAGCTCTTTTGGTATATTATCTTTTCATCTATTTTCAAGGCCATCGTACATCAATTATACGTGTGTGCTGCTCTCAATTATTTGTTGATATAAGAGCAGTGGTTTGATGGTTAAGATATCCAGTGCCTTACCACTAAGTTGTAGGTATGGATCTCACTCCATCTAATCCAGTTTGGTCAACCGGATAAAATCTCTAGCTCGCACACCAGAAGTGTGGCTCGAAGACAAGTACACAAATCAGTACCTGGTAAATGAATTAATAAACTAAGATAAAGGACAAAAAGTAATCAATCTATGAGTTAAATTATCCATAAGCAGTTCATCAGGTCATCCCTGATTTTCGGTTTTAGAGTCCCACATAGGTAGCATGATGCATAAACATAAGTATAATAAGTATGGTAGTGCTACTCAGATACTTTGTCATCATTCTGAAGTTTACATTTTAAATTTCAAAGATTCACAACATAGCACAATGTTTATCTAATGCTCTTAGTGCGTAACCTCTTTGATCGTAACATAGCTCACAACATCTTCCATGTTTTTCCATGAGAAATCTTAACAAATCCAAACTAATTAAGTTAGTAATTAGTAGCATCAACAAAAATGTGTGCTATTCTATTTCGAACTCGTCAATCAGATGTACCAGCATCTCATTATTAATATTTACTATGAAATTTGTAGTCCCTATATACTTACGCCTGTTACCCCACGTGAGGGAGTGTGGGCCGCTTACCAACATCCTCTATCCAACTGTCTAGAACAGTACTTTCCAGTGTTTTTTTCAGTTCCACTTCATTCTTTTGACGTCCGTCTCCGATTCCTCACACATTTGTTCCTTACTCTTACTCTTCTCCGTTTCCCTTCAGGATTCCAAGTTAGAACTTACCTCGAGATACAGCTTGATGAGCTCCGCAATCTTTATCTTATCCACCTCCAACATCTTTTTTCAATTTCTTCTTCCGATGGAAGCTGGTTTGTTCTCTGCAGCCGTAGCTTGTTGTTAATGACATCCGGTCAACGGATATCGAATATCTTATGTAGACATATGTTCACAAATACCTGCATCTAAACTGTTCATTGGAATTCGTGCTCCTATTTCTGACTCTAGTGCTTCGACTGGTGTGTTATCCAGTCTTGGTGCTTCCCCACTCTTGAATTGCCTGATGGCGATCCTGATTTGTCCAATCGTTGGTGGAGTGAGATCAATGAGAAGGTCTGTAGGTGATATTCAAAGTATTCTTCACACTTGTCCCTCTGTTCTTGAATCCCAGTCATTGGTTTGCCTTCTGTGTTCTTGACTGGTCGTTATAGTTTACTATATTTCCCCACCAGTTTCTTCGTTGTACCATGTGTTTGTCGCACATTTCCTTCACTTGCACCTTTTTCCGCCACCATTGCTAGACTTTACACGTATTTCTACTTGTCGAATCTACTGTTCTTCTTCACTCTCTTGTTTTTTCTGTGTATTTGGTCTGTGCCTCGACCTTTTCTGATAGTGTTCGACTGTTCGTAATTGCTGTCTTCTTCCCTTCTTGAAACTTGTCCAGGATTTCGATAGAGATCCATTCCTTATGATGATGTTTGTTAAGGTCCAGAACCTCCTCGTACGTTGAAGTCAGTACTTGTTTGATCTCTTTTCATTTGTTGTTTGTGTTAGTTTCTTGTTATTTGAGTAGATCTTTCAAGGCTTGCAACCAAGTTTTGAGAACTATCTTCAATTCGTTGAGTTTGTGAATATGTTGAAGAAAGCCTGTATTCAACTTTTGCAATAACATCCCCCATTGTTCATTACTTTAAAAAATAGTGTACTATCAACTAAACTACTGAATCATAAGGCTTACTAAACTTGTTGAAAGAGTTATAAAATTTATTATTATTATTATTATTAATGCTTTCTTATTTATTAATCATTTGGAAGATTGTACTGTAGAAAACCAATTTGAAGTCTAATGATATACACCGTTGGATGCCGGCTCAGTGGTCT